GCTGAGAAGAGAGGCCAGAGCACCTCCACAAACATCCTTATAACAGTCGTTTGCCAGAGATGAAAACCCAGTTCAGCACCACTGTGGCTTACAGGTGCACCCATGCTAAGAAAACATCCCCGAGTCTCTATGCCTCACTACCAGTCAGAGCTTTCATCTGCTACCTTCTCATCACATTCCAGACTCAAAGAGAGTGAGACAGTTAGCTACTCAGCTTGCTTTGAATCAGTCAACATAGAAAGGACTAATGTGCTTCTCCCACAGCCTCTTTGCTGTTTTCTCTTTACACGGAAAAAAAAACAACAACCTTTCACTTCACCTGAGCCAGGAAAGCTAAACTAAACCTGTAAGCCAGTGCATAAGAGCTGGCGTAACATCAAGGTAGCTCCCATGAATTCTTTCAAACTATGTCAATTAATACAAGCAGAGGATTAAGCCTCAAACATTTCACATTCATAGTGCTTTATAACTGGATATCAACAGCTGTATAAGCAACCTTGCAATAAAACTGTAAAACAGAAAGCCTGTTTCTCATTTATAGCTATGGAAATTGTGGTACCCAGGAAGGAAGCACACTGCATTGCCCAAGGTCACTAACTTCTTCTGTTACCAAGTGCAATACAAACCAGAAATCTAGTGAACTCCTTAGTCCAGTGCTCTTCTCTAGTAGCTCTCAACCACCAGAGAGGTGGATTATTCACCCTTGGAGATTTTTAAGACCTGGCTAGACAAAGCCTTGGCTGGGGTGATCTAGTTGGGGATGGTCCTGCTTTGAGCAGGGGGTTGGACTAGATGACTTCCTGAGGTCCCTTCCAATCCTCATTTTCTCTAATTCTATGATTTGTTGCTTCTAAAAACTTAGCGTGATCATATTTCTAGTGTCAAAAAGGGACACTCTGCTCCCTCCTCACTCTCCACTATGCTCAGGTGTCTCCAACATCCAGTCTCAGTTAGGGCTTGGGAGGAGTTTGGGAGGGACGCAACAGTACTGTTTTCACCAAGACAGTCCCATTTGAAGCAAGTGTCCTGCACTTCCCCTGAAAAAAGAACAAAAGCATTAATCTAACCAATCTAATAGAATGCCTGGGGCAGGTGTTTGGAACAGGGCTGTCCTAGTGAAAACAGGATGTATGGTCACCCTACACAAAAATCCCAAAATGATCTCCTACCTAATCAGGGCTCCTCACCCTCCTGCATCCAAATTGTTGGCCAATGTCTCCATTGGAGGAAGTTAAGGTCCCAAGGCATTCCCTCCTCAGGTTTTTCAAAAGGCTGCATATAGTTAGCATATTAGGAGCTGTGACAATTTCACTTACTTCTTGCAAATCTGGCCACCACCAAATTTCCTACTTTTCAAGTCAGACTAGAGCTGATCATGGAACTTTTCATGGCATTTCACTGTTGGCCCCATCTGTTATATCACATCTAGTCAGTGAATCCATTTAAAAAAAAAGACTACAGACAAAAAGGTAAGAACTGATTAAAGTTGTGTGCTACTCTAATAACTAAAATAAGTCCTACTCACCTCCGTTCTATGGACCAGCATCCATTTTCCATCATCGCCTGGCTTATAAAACTCTAAAAATGGATCAGACTTTCCAAACAGGTCCTGTGTGAGACACAATATGGGTTACATAATTTCCCATCAACTGTGTAATGGCCAAGCAAGAGACAGTCTATAGAAGAGAAATGCCAGTCTTATACTATAAGTTGAAGGACTACCATTTTGGTTATATTCTCCCCTGTCTACAAATTCAGTCACACAGAGAATTGAACTGGCTATTACTAACAACAAATGGCATTATTTATCTAAGAGCAAACTTTGCAACAGCAACTGATAAGTTTAGTACCAAATACTGAAAAAGTGATTAATAGTAGAAAAAGACCAGCTTCATACTCCAAGAATTTATTTTTATCTGAGTATATTTAAAAAAGAATCTTAGCATTGGTCTGACTTTGTTCATTTTCAAGTCAGTAGTAAAACACCTGTTAAAATAATTACCGTAGTAGTAGAAAAAAATGCCAACCATGCCTGTAAACTTATAGAGGCTGTCTACAGAAGTGTGGCCTTACCTACATCAGTTTTGCTTGGCTGCCTGCATTTACAAAAGGAAGCTGAATTGGTAAGACAGGTTTAAAACTACAATTTCCAGGCTTCCATACACCGATTTTACTAAATGAATGTTAAACCCCATTCTAGCTAAATTGGCACAGCTCTGTGTTTAGATCATATCTTAATAAAGATTCCGTTATTTAAGAAATGGAAGTGAGTCAGGGCTGTGTCCTGGTCAGTCTGCCATTTCAGTAATTACACTGCCCAAAGTCACAGCAATTTGAGCAGAGAAGAATGCCGTATCAAGCTGACAGTGCCTTGCTGCTAGGTGCTCTTCAGCAGCAGTTGCCTTCAGGTCTGAAGGTGACTTTGTTTCAATGGTGACTAAGTGATGCCTACATGTACCAATTTGTAACATACTTTAAGAGTTTTCTGCATCAAACCTATGTTATGAATTCCTGTACTGATAATGTTGGTGGTAGTTATGTGTGGGCATTCCAGGGAGAATGACTTAGCTCTTCTAGATTGCTTTTTATCTAGAAAGCTCAAGGGACTCCATACAGAGGTTGCGGGAGCAGGGAAGGGGAGGGGGAGAATACATCCTAGTATGCCGTTTATAGACTAAAGAAACTGAGGCACAGAGCAGTGACGTAACTTACAGAGTCAATACCAGAGCATGGAATAAACCTTCACCCATGTGATCTTTTGATGGCACAACCTAGTGATACAATGTCTATTGCTGGATGATACTGCACAAACTAAGAACAACATAATCTGTCCTAGTGAAGTTAAAGTCCTACATTTTCAAAAGAATTTGAATGGGAGACAGAAATAGAGGGTGAGGGGGTTCTGTTTTACTGAAGGAACTCAGAAATTGATGCCACAGTTCTATGCAAGCTTACAAGGCAGAAAAGCATGTGTGAAGAGCTTCATCAATTCTTCTTGCAGCCAAGCAAGCAATCAGGTAACTACTTTACCTGGATTGTGAAGATCAAATGAACATATGGGTTAAGTGTAGCGATGGATGCTGTAGCATTGAGTACTTGTAGCTAAGCCAGGGTATAACAGGATGGCACCTGAGAACCACTGCGATGGTCCCTAGTGGCCACCCTAATTCTTCCTGCTTCTGTTCCAGCATCCCACGGTCTTCTTCTCCTGTCATGCCTTGATGTTCAAAGGTAATGAGGGCAGGCTGCCCTCAGAGGCTGGTGAGCCTAGGGTGCGCTCTCTCGCATGCTCTTTAATAAATATGTTAATGACTTGGATGAAGGGGTGGAAAGGTCAACGATTAAGTTTGCAGATGATACCAAGCTGTGGGAAAATGCAGGCACACTAGAGGATAGGGTAAAGATCCTGGACAACCTTGACAGACTGGGTTTATGGACTGAATGGAATCAGATGAGGTTTAACAGGGAGAAGTGCAAGGTTCTTCATCTGGGTAGGAAGAACCTTCACTATAACTACACAGAGGGTGATGGTCCACTGCATCTGAACAGGACCTGGGGGACACAATAGACTGGAAGATGAACATAAGCCAACAGTGTGATGAGGCTGCCAGAAGGGCAAATAGAACTCTGGCGTCCATTAGCCAATGTGTTGCCAAAGGATCTAGGGAAGTGCACCTCCCTCTCTATTCAGCGTTGGTGAGGCCGCAGCTGGAGTACTGTGTCCAGTTCTGGGCACCACACTTCAAGAAAGATGTGGATAAGCTGAAGAGGGTACAAAGAAGGGCCATCCATATGATTAGAGGCATGAAAAATAGGCCGTATGAGGAGATACTCCGGGAACTGGGCCAGTTCAGTCTGAACAAGAGAAGGCTGAGAAGTGACTTGATAGCCGCCTACAAGTACACTGGAGTGAGCATCAGGATCTGGGGCAGCAGCTCTTCAGGAAGGTACCTCAGGGAAGGACAAGGACAAATAGGCATAAGCTAATAGAAGGTAAATTTAGGCTGGACATAAGAAAAAACTTCTTCTCTGAAAGGGTCACCAGAATCTGGAACTCGGGGTGCACCGATAGAGATTTTTAGGGCTGATACTGAAAGCCAATTTTTAAGGAGGCGTACTGGCCAATACCAATCCAATTTCCAACGCAACATGGACAGATGTTGTGGTAGAAGGGGTGTGGGGTGGACAGATCAAGGGCCCCATGGTAAGGGAGGGAGTGGGGCTGGGGCAGGGGCTAGGGCAGGCGCTGCCCAACCAGGGCAGGGTGGCATGGGCACAGGATGGAGCCACGGCTCATCTGGGTGGGTGGGGTGCAGGGTGGGAGTGTGGCTCCCACTGCTGCACGCATCACGGGAGGGCATAGTGGGGAGGCGTGAGACCCCCGGATATGCGTGAGGCATCACAGCTGCCACTGTACCCAAGTAAAAGTGCTTGAGTTCTATGTTACATGGGGCAACAATACACATACATCTGGCCTATGTACATGATATATTTTGCCAAAGTTTTGCTAAGGCAAATTGTTCAAGTTCACATTACAGGGACATTTTTCAAACATGCAATGTACACAGTTTTGCATGTGCAATGGGATTAGAGAGATGGGGGGGAAGTGGTATTTCACACACACAATCCTAATGGTAACAATCTCCCAGGTGCCCATGGAGGGTGTACATTTTGCATACAGTGCAAAACACTGGGTCTGGAAGGCAACTGAGTTCAGGTTTAGAAAAACATGTTGAAAACTAAAAAAATGTATGCATGTATGTCTCAAAACAAACAAACACAACAATAAAGTGTGAACAGATCAAACCTCTGCGTAAGTCTCAGAGCAATGCTGACTTCAGCCAGTGCTTGTGTCATTCCTTCCAGCAGCTGTTTAAATACTCTCTTGACACAAGAACTGCTGGTTGACTGCCAGTTTATAAACGACACACACACACTGCCCAGGTAGAGTATTTAGAGATGCAGGCACACATTATGTGCATGTTTACAGAGAACCAGATTCCAATGCCAGGAATAGTGAAATAAGCAAACAAGTAAATCCACTCAGCATAAGCAGTGGGGTTGGAGGAAGAAAAAAGGGCAGTACCTAGGATAAATGAGCGAGATGACTTTGGATTCATTTCCGGATCCCCACTGTGTTCCATAATAGGTCATCTGCGGTCTCTAGGCCAGACTCTGGCAGCCAGACAGAGCTGCAATATTGCTCAGAATTTCTCCATTGATTTGCAAGTCGCTACTCAGTGCCAGGCAGGGAAGTAGAAACCAGTCCTGTCATTACTGAATGCTTATGTTTCAGCTGCCCCAGTGGCCAAGTCGGAGCCCCTTGGTGCTGGGCTTTGTATTAATATACAGAAAGTAAGTTACAATAGTGAATCGTAGTTCTTAATTAACTAAATTTTAGCAAAGGGTTCTGCTCTGGAACACATCTTAGCTTTCTATTGTTATTGTCTCAGTGATTCAAAGGCAGAATTTACAATTAAAGAAAAAAGATGGTCTTGTCAAACTGCCAGCCCACCTGACTGTCTCAGCATTTCCATGTGGCTCAAAGCAGTAGCATCACTAGTGCTTCATTACCATTTGTGTTGTATAGAAGTGAATTCCATTCCTGAGCTAGAGGCCTCAATATGCCAGGAACTATACAAGATGCACAAGAAAAGTCTGTCCCTGTACTGATTCTATGGACAGTGAGTGAGAGGAAGGGTTCTGACTAGAGTTGGCTGGAACATGGAAGTTCAGTTCCAGGGAAAATTCCAATGTTTGGAAAAAAAAGTTTTCATTCAGATTCAGAAAAAAAATGAAAGACTTAACTTTCAAAATTACCTGCAGAAGGGAAATTCCAAAAATAGTTTATTCTAGACAAATATTCCATTTTTATTTGATTTTTGTCAAAACAAAGGCTAAACTGAGTGTCCTGACTCCTGGAAGCAGCCCTCAACGCCCCCAGCCACAGGGCAACAAGCCTAAAACTGGAGAATGCTGACTCCAAGCCCTCTAACAGCTGGAGCTAAAAGGGCTTCCAAATCAGTAGTTCACAGTTTGGGGATCCTCAACTGCTAGGCAGCTCCCATGGAACCTGCGGCTTCCCTCGTGGCCCACCCAGTAAGTTCACAGGAAAGTCAGTTAAGTTCCTGTGAGAAACCTGCCTGTGTTTTGGCAAAAATTAATCTAAAACATGTTACCCCAAGACATTTCCATGTTGACAAACTGTCATTTTCCAACCAAACCCTGTTTCTTCAGAAACATTCTCAATCCACTCTAACTCATGCCCTCATATTATGGATGGGATACTGAGATACACACTGGCTTATATGATGCCAACAGAGGGTCAGTGGCAAACCAGGGAACTGGACCCAGACTTGAGTCCCAGTCTGGTGCATCTCTGTTAACATTAAATACAAACCAGAATCAGAATTAGCTTCTTTCTGGCTGAGAAATGATGTCAATTCTACAGCAGGATCCATTCTATCCCAAGGGTCACCTGCACAAACCCACTATATAATCAAGCAGAAGAGGTAAACCCCAAGAAGAACTTTGGGCTCTACAGCTGGAACCTAGTTAATTTTATAGATGTGCATGAAACTCTCTCCCTAACTACCATGTTGGCTCCAA